CACCTAGCACCCCCCCAGCACCCCCCCAGCCCCTCTTTGGGCACCCAGCACACCCCCCCTCCCGCACACTGTCACCCCTTCCTTGGGCACTCTCCAGCACCCTGGCATCTGCCCCCTGGGCACCCACCACTCCCTTGGGCACCCTGTCACTCCCCTCCAGCACCCTGCCATCCCCTCCAGGCTCTGCAGCCCCCCCAGCTCGTCCCCCCCCGCCGGGGCACTGGGATGTTCTGGGGCCCCAGGACATATGTCCCTGTCCCAGCCCTGCCTCACCCCCTCCCAGCACTATTTTAATCTCTCTCAACCTCTTTTTACTTTTCCTTTCTCTCCTCCTCCTCGCTGTCACCTCCCTGTTTCCCCTCCCTGGGAAGAGGGGGACAGTGGGGACCCCTGTACAGACCCCCCAGAAGGACTCCGGGTGCTGGGGGCGCTCCATCCAGCCCCATGTGCTGTGGCTGAGCCCCACGCAGGAACCTTTTCTCCCAAAGCAAATTGGTGCAAAAGGAGGTTTCTGCCCCCAAATCCGTCCCCTGCTGCTCCCCACCTGGTTGTGTTTTGCAGGTGGTTTCTCAAGCCACCATGAAGGGTGCTGGGGGGGGTGGGGGGGTGGACAGAGGCTCTGCTGAAACCCGGCAGAGAAGGAAAAAATCAGCTTTTTCTGGTCTTTTTGGGAGGTACCGGAGTGGGTGTGGGACTTGTCCCCTCCCCACTGTCACAGCCAGGGCAGACCCATGGGTCAGGGACCCCACGCAGGAGCAGGGGGCTGCTGTCACAGCTGGGAGCGCTCACCGAGCACTTCTCTTCAAAGCGGTGACTGTGTTAGCCACCAGTAGGTTTCAGGGTTAACACTCTGTTTGAGGGGAGCCGTTCACAAGCTGTCAGCCAGCCCCAGCTGAGGCTGCGGCTGCTCTTGGCACTTTCAGGCTCCCCGTGCAGCCAGGGCCAGTGACGCCGGCTGGCTGGTGGCCGAGGTCCCATCATCCCCATGGTGGGTGGAGGTGGCACCTCTGTCACCCCCGGCCAGGGCAGGACAACCCGACTGAGCGCAGCTCAGAGCCCCATCCCGCACAGCCCCCAGTGCCCCCAGCACGGGGGGACACGGTGACCTCCCTCTACTTTCCTGGAGATTTTCTGCTGCGGGGGGACCCTGTCACGGTGTCACCGGTGGTGGGTCCCGCTGCTGGGCCGTGCCCTGGCGAGGAGGCCGAGTCCCCAGCCACGGGGCCGTGTCTATTAGAGCCAACCTGGTCCCACCTCCTCCTCTTCCTCCCCACGCAGAGGCTTCACCTCACCTCTCCAAATTTAGCAAAGGCCCCCGGAGCCGCAGGTTTCCTGTTCACGCTCCCGGTAGCGGCAGCGGCCGGGGCTCAGCGGCGGCTGCGGCACCGGAGGGGAGCAGGTAGGAGCCACCACGCTGCTGCGACCCGCAGGGCTGTCCCCACGCGTGGGCATCCCTCCCGGTGCTCCCCTTTCCCACAGACCCGCTGCTCCGGGTCGGGGAGGCCCATTGTTGCTGTTTGTCATTTTACGGGGCGCAGCATCATTTGGGGGCCGGGGCGGGGGGACACACAGTCCCCAGGACACGGGGATGTGGCCGGGTCCCCCACAACCCCTGTCCTGCTCCCCGGCCTCGTCCTGCTGCGAGGGCTCAGCCCGTTGGGTTTGGGGGTGCAGGCTGGGGGGAGGAGGTGGCGGAGCCCCCACCCCCATACCCCTTTGAGTAGTGGCTGATGTCCCCCCAGACTGTCCGTGGGGAAGGACGAGCTCATCCCGTGGGACACGCAGGTCCGGTCACTGCTCGGGGACACCAGGGGACATCTGACTATCAGGCCTCCGGGAGGGTGAGTACTGACCCCGCTGCCGTGGTCCCCCGTCACCCCACAACCTTCCCCTCACCTCTAGCACCTGTGGGGACACCCTGACCCCCCCCACTGCAGCCCCACACAGACCGGCTCAGCTCTCCCTGGATGCTGCTGCAGAGGGGAAACTGAGGCACGACAGCAGCGGGGTGGTGGCAGGTGGTGACAACCCAAGAGTCTGCTCTGCAGGCTGGGGGGACCTTGGCAGCCCCCCCGCTCCATTTTCAAAACCACCCCCAAGCCACAGAGTTGGGGTTTGCACCCAAAATCCCCCCCAGCAAGAGCTGGCGTCTGTGGGATTCGCCCCCATAACCCTGCTCCAGGTCCCAGCTGGTGTCGCTGCCCCCTCCAAGGTCTCGTGTCACCCCCCCTCTCTGCTCGGGCTCTCCTGCACTCCTTCCTCCCCCTGCTCTTCCTCCCTGCCCTCCTCTGCCTCTTCCCTGCCATGGGGCTGTTTTCTTGCCCCTCGTCCCCAGGGGCTGGGGCCAAGCTGCCGGCTCCCCCACAAAGGGTCCTGGCCAGGCCTGAGGTTTG